TAACAATCAAATATTATATATTATTTATTATGATGAGAGATTAAAAAGGCTCATTCATAAATGTTTTTTGATTTATAAATTGATATTCAGATAAATATCTTTTCTATATCTTTTTCAATCAGTTCAAAAGATTTGCTCTTAATTCTTTGAAAATTAAGGCGATTATTTAATGAATAAATCTAACTTTTAATTTATTGTTTCATTACTTAATCATTTAAACACTTTAAGAAGTAAAGAGATTATATAGTATATGACTCTTTAAAATCTGTGTATATTATACCAATAGTTCTTAAATGTTTATCATTTAAATATACATAAAAGATTATTGAAAGTTGCTCCTTTGTAAATATTAAGATTAACAAATATTAATCAGTAATTATGATTATTAGATAGTTATTTATTCTAATTGTTATTTAGTTGAGCTAAGGGTTCCAAAATTATCTTGATTATTAATGATGATTAATATATTTTCAGTCTTTGAATTGTGAAAGACTTGTTTTATCAATTAAAGCAATAGAAACAATGGCCCAAAAGAGAATTAATTAGGAAATTTTATAATTATCATTTAAACGAAAATATAAGTAATTAATTTTAATTTTCTTGATACAACTCATCTGCACTTTCAAGGGATAGTATTTAATTATGTGAAAATTTTACACATGACAACCACTAAAATACCTAAAAGAACTTGCTTTGAAAAGTTGAATTCAAAAATTAAAAGAATAGCTAAAATCAGTAAGAATTTCTATAAATATAATTATCATATTAATTTATTAGAAAGATTACTCAAAATGAATTGGATTATTTTGAAATTTCTCAGCCCTACAATTATTATGGAAATTAATTATTGGGTAAACTTTATTTTAATTCCTTTATTTAGAAAAGGAGCATCAATAAATTTTGCATCAATATTTTAATTAATACTTCGAAAAAATTCTCCTTCTAAGTGAATGATATACTCATAATTTTTTGAAAATTAAAATGAAATAACCTTTATTTTCAGCATCAAAAATAGTTAATTTATTAACTGATGTCATCGTTTAAAATGAAGCTTCATTTCAAGGAGGATGAATATGATACCTCCTACACGAAATGAATTTAAATTATATTAGTGAAAAGGTAACAATTTCATATTCATCTAAATTTCTGATTTATTAGAAACTAAATCTAAAGAAAAATTAATTGAAATTTTATGTAAAATTAAAAGAATAATTACCTATAATGCAACAAAATTCTGATTAATTCCTTAGAAAAATATTAAAAGTCCTTATGAGATTGGAATTTAGAATCTTTTCTATTACACAAACTTAAAGGGAGAAAATTATATGATGATTAAAAATTAAGATAAGAAATACAGCATAAGGTTGAGAGGAACTCACAGCGCAATATATTGTATTCTAATGACTTGTGAAGAGTAAAAATGAGAAATACAAGAAAAAGAAGTGATTTATTGAGTGGATAAGACATTAAAAATAGGGTCAAATTTAGAATAATAAAATCAAGAAGAATTATCAAACTCTAAAAATCTTCTTCAAACAAAGAAATTAGTTTTTTACCGATTCTTCTAGCTCGTTCTCAATTAAATTCTATTTCTA